TGACCTGAAGTGACATTTTGCCGCTTCTGTTTTTCTCACAGCTTTCGCAGCAGGGTGAGATCTCTGTTCACCCTTCAAATGCACACGCATGCCTGTGTGTCATTTCAGGTTAACTGAATTTGAAACAGGAGCTGTTGTTTCATTTTTCAAATCACTTAACCCCCTCTTAACCATTATAAACATGGTGATTAAGGACACAAAAATATTACCCTGGAGGAAAGGGACCAAAAGCTTGGAAAAGGATGAAAGAAACACTCTGATTACCCCCTTTAAAAATACATTTCTTTAGCCAAAGCTGCTAAATTTGGCTCAACTTTACACACTGGAAAGATTTTGCAGGTTTTTGGGGTTTTTTTTTACGGTGAATAAATTGGTTTTCCTCATAAAACCCCCCACCAACTCTCAGGCCGAGCGATGCAGTTTCGATGTGTCATGGAGGCAGGGTTAATGCAGATCCCACTCTCGGGAAGGACAGTGTAAACCCCAAAACACAAGACTCTGGTCTCAAGTGGGGCTCCATGTGCCTGAAACCAACACCTGGCCCCCCTCACCGTCACAGCGCAGGGGTTTTTTTGGAGGAGATCTGGGAAAGGACACGTTTCACCCCCAGCTCATGCTGAGGAGCGCAGGGTTTTGCTCTCGGCTCCTGGAGGGCTCAATCCCCTGCCCAGGGAACATGGGGACATTGGGGTTCTGAAGCTGGGAGCTCCTCTGCAGCCGGTCCCAGCGCAAGGAGGGACAGGGCAGGGAAAGGCAGGCAAGCCCAAGCTCCACCGCAAAAAGATCTCTAGCGAGTCGGGGCACTGTGCCTCAGTTTCCCCACATGCCCCATGGAGATAATGCTATTGCCACACAGGCCATCGGCAAAGGATTCGGAGACCGACTTCCCCAAGGATTCATTACCGAGGAGCTAGAGCTGCCAGACAGCTGGTTGCTGATAATTCACCTCGTCCTAAGGCAGGTGTTTAAAATAGCTCCTGTGACTGACTCACTATGCCGAGAAGGGCCAAAGGGTTTCAGATGCTACCTCGGGGGCAGCTGGATGTTTTCCTTGCAACGGGACGTGGGGTGAGATGCCACCTCCAAGTCTGCTGCTCTTCAGGTCCCTGGGGCGAGCCGGACCTCCGCTCCCCGGGTGGCTTTTCTCCTCTGTGCTCAACTGTGTTTTTCCAGCAGTGTCAGACTTTTGGCTGTTCCTCATCTCCCATTCCCAGAAAGAGATGTGGAAAATAGAAACGTCCCTTTTGCTGTGGCTTCAGGCTGCCCTGGCTGGTCCTTTCTGCACAACCAAGCACCTTAGTGTACAGAAAGTCACAGGTGTGATGAGTGCTGGTGCTTTGCAAGTCCTCAGTCATACATGGGATAGACTCCAGTGCTCCCAGAACGGGAGGTCTAACGGCCTGAAAGCTCATCCTGGTCCTGCTTCATCCTTTTTTTCCCCACTTTCTGAATTACAGATACTTCCCCTGCTGACACCATGGAGCAATAAAAAGTTGTAAAAGGGAGGTGGGAGAGCGGTGCTAGCTCCGAATCGCTTCCCACTGGGTAACTCCGGTGGTTTCATCCTCTCCTGGCATAGCTGACAGCCCTGAAGGGCAGCGAACAACCCTCTGCCAAGGAGAAATGAGGGGTGAAAAGGTCTTTTCCCTTCCTCCAGCCCCTGTGTCCAGTCCTCAGGCCATGCTGTGACAGTGATGGGCGTCGTGGAGGGGAGCAGCAAGCAGCCAATGCTGCGGCTGCCCATCTTCAGGTCTCCCGTCACATCAACCACGGTCCTTTCCTCATGGCAGAGGTCTGGGACCCAAATCTGGTGGCTCTCAGCCTCGTGAAGGTATTACTGTGCAGGAAGGCTGGTGCACAGGGGATCAAATATGCACGCATCCTTTTCCAATACCCAGTTGGAAATGCACCCTGGCAGGACAAGACAGTACCCGGGCAGCAGGATCTTGCTGGGGGACACGATGGCACAGTTCCCCTCCTGCAACACAAGCCGTGCAGGGACAAAATCATCAGCAACAAGTGGAAATGAAGTGACTATCAGCACCCCAGCCCCACGCCGGACCTGCTCGGCCTTTCTGCGGCAAGTTTTCTAAGAAACACCACAGCAGTTAGCAAGCATTTACGGGAAGGGTGGGCCGAGCTCAGCCTGCAGCCAGGACAGCCGCGATAGCATTTTGGTGGTGCCGGCGGGGGGAGGACGACGGAGGCCACCCAAGGGGCTCGGGCTCCTCACGGTAGCAGGTGGCATGTTGGGGAAGTTTGCTTTTGTGTAAGAGCAGCTTCCTGGATGGTCCGGGGAAAAAGCAAGACAGGAGGTTAAATACAAACCACATCTCAAAATAGGCTTAAAATTTGAAGGCGTTTGGAGCTGCGGTTCCTGCTTCTAGCAGCCCTGAGGAGGAGATGAGAGATGCAGCTGAGGAAAGAAAGAAAGAAAGACAGAAAAACAGAAAAAAAGGAAAGAAGGACGAAAAAAAGGAAAGAAGGACGAAAAAAAGGAAAGAAGGACGAAAAAAAGGAAAGAAGGACAAAAAAAGGAAAGAGGACGAAAAAAGGAAAGAAGGACGAAAAAAGAAAAAAAGAAAAAAAGAGAAAAAGAAGCAAAAAAAGGAAAACAAACCGACCAAGTTAACACTTTCTGCTGAAGGCAGAGGCACTGCAGTGACACAGCACACCAGGTCACCCCACAAGGCTGGGACATGGCTCCAGCACCCCTGGTTCCCTCCGACAGCAGCCCCACAGCTCAGAGCGGTGCTGGCAAGC